TTTTTTTGGTTTTTCTCCGGTACCAGGAACCGAACTCACGACCTTGCGCTTGCCAGGCAGGCGCTTTTGCCGCTGAGCTAAATCCCCAGCCCCGGGCCTATAGATATTTAAAAAAATAAAATTTTAAACTTCCGCATATCAAAAGTAATCAGTAGACTAAAAAAGCGATGGATAGGATGGAAGAAAATATTTACGAATCATACATCCTTTTTCTCTTTTGTATGTGGTCCTGGAGCCAAGGCCTTTCCACTGAGCTGTATCCCAGCCCTTTTTATTTTTGAGTTAGAGTTACGAAGTTACCCAGGCTGGGCGCAGAGTTGTGATTCCTCCAGCCTCAGCCTCCTGGAGTGCTAGGATTACAGGCATGCACCATCACGTCTGGCTGAAAATCATATCTGATAAGGAGTTTATATTCAAAATACATAAAGAACTCCTGTATCTCGGCAAGAAACCATCAGCTCAATTTAAAAATGCTAAAGGACTTGAATATATTTTTTTCCAAAGATACACACGAGCAATAAGCGTAGGAGAGATTCTCGATATCCCCATAGTCCTTAGAGAAAGGTAAACCAAAGCCAGAAAAATAATTATTGAAAATGATAGAGACATTGAAATTGTGGGCTGTTGGTATAAATGTCGATTAGTACAGCCACTCTCAAGCAGTATGGCAGTTTTTCAAAAAATTAAGAACAGACTTGCCATGTATGAATCCACCTGAGGGTGTACCCAAAAGAGGTACAAGCGGGTCTGAAAGCAGTATCTGTATGTCCTCGTTCATAGCTTCCTCCCTAGGAGCCACAAGGGGAGAGCGTAGCAAGTCGTACCTCGGGGCAGGTGCCCGTTGGGCAAGTGGAGAAACAAAGGGTGATAAGCGCAAGACTGAGCGTCACGCGCCGGGAAGGAGGGGCGCGTGGGCTGGGCCGCAGCGAGGGGAACCTGGAGAGTGTGCCCAGTGAGGTGTTAGTCACAAAACAGGCAACTGCTGTATGGCTCCGGGTAACTGAGGTGCTGACACGGTCAGACTGAACACAGAAAGTAGAGCAGTGGCCACCAGGGCGGTGAAGGGAACAAGGGTCCAGCTGTGGGTGGACATTGGTGATGGGTCCACAACAGGGTGGAGATACTTAATGCCACGGAAGTACACTTCAAAATGGTTACAATGGTAAATTTTATGTCCTGTGTATTTTACCAATTAAATTCTTAAAAATCAGCAGTGAAGAAAAGAAAGACTTGTAGGCCGGGTATGATGGTGCACACCTGTAATTGCAGAACTCAAGAAGCTGAGGCAGGAGGATCATTGCGAGTTCCAGACCAGCCTGGGCTACAAAGTGAGCTCAAGGCCAGCCTGCACTGCACAGCAAGACCCTGTCTCAAAAAGACCAAAAAAAAAAGACTTGTATCTATGTTTTATGTTTTCAAAAAATTATCTAAAGTGTGTCACTTAATTTTCCTTTGTTCCTGTTCTTTTTCATGTATTTTAGCATCTTCAAGCATGTTTCCTGATTTCCTGCAATCTTTTTTGAAGCATTCTTTATCTACAGTTTTTGACCTTGTAGAAGAATACGAAAATATCTGTAGCAATCAGGTAAGCTAATTTTACTTCAGCATTAGTCAAACTTCAGTACTTGTAGCTTTTTGAACAGCACCAACCTGTTCTTTTCCATATTATACTTAAAAAAAGAGATGTTTGAGAGGCACAGACAGGAGAGGTGGGGAGCTCAGCCAGAGCATCTCTGCTTTTCATATAATAAAGCTCTGTACAAAATGTCTTTGGGAAGCTGGGCGTGGTGGCATACACCTGTAACCCCAGCACTTGGGAGGCTGAGGCAGGAGGATCTTTGCAAGTTTGAGACCACCTGGGGCTACAAAGTGAGCTCAGGGCCAGCCAGAACTGCATAGCAAGACCCTCTTTCAAAAAGACAAAAAAAAAGTCTTTGGGGAAAAAAAAGCAGTCTACTTTTTAAAAAGCCTGAAATATACGAAGAACTCGTAGAACTCAACAATAAGAAAACTGAACCAAAAAGAAAAAAAATGGGCAAAAGATGGGAAATGGGCACCGTACCAAAGATGGTATGCAGATGGCAAAAAAGCATATAAAAAAAATGCTTCACACCAGATACTATTAGAGAATTACAAATGAAAACCAAACACTGTCCCATACTCATTCGGATGGCAGAAATCCAAAATATTGTGAGATCACCAAAATCTGATTGGAATGTGGAGCAGCAGTGGGAAGCCTTGGTCACTGATGATGAGAATGCAGAATGATCGATTGTTAGTTTCTTACAAAATTAAACCTGCTCTTACTGTATGATCCAGCAGTTAGGCTCTTTGGCATATACCCATGCGAATTAAAAATCTGTCTCGCACACCCAAACCTGCATATGGGTATTTATAGCAGCTTTATTGATAAAGATTTGGAAGCAACCAAGATGTCCTTCAGTTGGTAGATGAATAAACTAACTCCTCCAATAAATGCAGTACTATTTAGCATGAAGAAGAAATGAGCTATTAAGCCATGAGGAGACACAGGAATCTTCTTTGATTTTTGAGGTAGGGTCGCACCGTGTAGCCCAGGCCGACAGACTCTGAAAAGGCTACGTACTGTATGATTCCAACCGTTACGTCCTGGGAAAGGCAGAGCTACGGGGGCAGTGAGAGGATGGCTGCCGTCAGTGGGGAAGGCGGGGCGGATGGCAGAGCACGGAGACTCCTCGAGCCGTGGAGGGGTACCGTGGCGTGCGTGTGTGCTGGCGGGTGTGTGTCTGCGCGCACCTGTTAGAATGTGGGGACTGTGTGGCACTCGGCATGAGCCCTGATGTCCGCTTTGAATTTTGGGTGGTGAGGACGTGTCCGTGTGGGTTCATTAACGGTAATCAGTGTAGCGTTCTAGTGCAAGATGCTGATGGGAGAGAGGCCAGGTAGGCATGGGAGCAGGGGTGTGCTCCACTCAGTTTTGCTGGGAACCTGAAAACTGCTCTAAAATAGAATCTATTAAAACAGAACTTTAAAAAAATACTATTGCATTTAAAAATAATTGCAACTCAGTGCAGTGACGCGCACATACAATCCCAACTACTTGGGAGGCTGAGGCAAGAAGATTGTGAATTTGAAGCCAGCCTAGACAACACCCAGCAAACCTTGCCTCAAAAATAAAGTAAAAATAAAGAGTAATTGGAGTAATAATAGGAATAGCCAACTGTTAGGGGGCGTTTTTTTGTTTTTTGAGACAGTGTCTCACTATTTAGCCCACACTGGCCTTGAACTCACAGCCATCCTCCTGCCTCAGCCATCCAGCTAACCCAACACTTTTGAGCATTTACTGTTATTTAAATAATCATCCTATGAATGCTTCCCTTACAAAGCAGCTTCATTGAATAACAAAAGCTTTTTAAAGGGTGAGAAGACCTGTTGTAAACCTTTGTGTTCTGAATGAGACCAGTCCTGCTTCTGAATTTCCTCAGTAGGTAAAGAGGTCCTGGTGGGGGTGCAGAGAGGGCAGCAAGGGGAAGGGGACATTAAAAGAGTACAGACGTGTTATGTGCCCTGACCAGCTCCCCGTGACACAGGTAGTCACTGTGCACCGCAGACTGTACCGATTAAAATAAAAATTGGGGGTGGCCACGCCTGTAATCCCAGCACTCAAGAGGCTGAGGCAGGAAGAGTTCACAAGTTCAAGACCAGCCTCAGCTACGAAGTGAGCCAAGGGCAGCCTGCACTGCATAGGAAGACCCTGACTCAAAAAAAATTTTAAAAATAAAATAAAAATTTGGAAAAATAGAGGTTCTACTGTTCCTAACTCTTGAGAAACATTTCTTTTATCCTGGGTCTTTAAACTTTTCTGTGAAACACTTCTTTGTGTTTAGGGGAGTGAGTCCTACCTTTCATTAGATTCTCACTGTGCTTCAGTTCCAGAAAGGGTTAAGACCACTGAACTGGAATAAAGAGGAACTTCAGTGAAGTTTTGTTTAGAAATAACATGTCTGGGTGTAAGTCTTAAGAAAATATTTGTCTTGGTTTATTACATGGTGTAAAATTTTCCTTTTTTTTTTTTTTTTTTTTTT